GTGTTAGGTGTTGGTATTGAGTCTGGTGGCACCGACCCCTGGTACAGGAAAGATCTCACGCCCTGGAGTTCGTGACATATGACTAGTGACACTGAAGGTCAGGACTCACACCTGAGATGGTGTCGGAGCAGACAGATATTACATGCCTGAGATGTTTCTCTGCTAAAGGATGTGTGAGCTGTGAGTGGATTCTTTAGCTCTAAGTCACAGAATGCGGGTTTGTTTTTACACCCATTTGATTTAGTGCACCACCATTTTGGTAATGCTTCACCAAACGTGTTGTTTCATTAATAAAAAAAAAGTGTACAATAGTGCAATCACCTCCTATTCTGATGGCCTCTGACTTTTTCTCTTTTTTCAAAGTCTATGCTTAGATTTCCATCAGTTTTTACATTACATTTATTACAGTATAAGCAAAAAATCATCGAAATCTGATACGTTCGGCACTCTTTTCACCCTTCACTCAAATTGTTGAAACAACAGCTGTAATCTCTGAATTATGTGTAAGGGGTGACGTCTTTTTATCTTCGCTCTGTCTGACAGTCTCGGTGAAAAAAGGCCAATAGTGTTGAGTGCTGGACTGATATCCCTGAAAACTGAAGAGAATTACCAATGGCCTCTAGTCTGACACTGTTTATACAGCACACTGTTTCAAAGAGTGTAAGAGAATTAGCATTAATCTCCTCACTTGCTGGCAGTGTTGGGAAGGTTACTTTGGAAATGTTATCATTTTGGAAAAGTTATCATATTTCAAATGTAATAAGTCATGTAACTTTTCAGTTACATTATTAAAGTAATGTAACTGATTACATTTGATTACTTTTCTAAATTTCTAATGCTTTCAACAGTTAATCATTTAGAAACATTTAAAGCAGGCAGGGTTAACCTTACAGTAGTACTCAACACTGATTACTGTCAGACATTCAAAATCCTTCATCACTTGTATTAAGATTATAATCATTTAATTTAAAGCACAGCCACCACAAAATCAGACTTTAGCACCTCTTTTTACTTTGAGATCATTTTGAGGTTAGATAGAGATTTAAAATCATTCCAATCACGGCTCAAAATTTTATATCGGTATAAGATTTTTTTTTTAATGTTTTTAAAGGGGTCCTATTATGCTTTTTCACTTTTTCAACTTTACTCTTCTAACTTTCACTAAAAATGAAAAAAAAGGTTCTAACAAATAACAAGTACAACAAAAACAAGATTCTAACACTCTTCTAGGAACATTCTTAAGGCAGTAAAAACCAATTAGCTGAGCTCGAAAGCTATCACCTTACACTCTTTCCTCACGGCTGTACGTGTTTATCAGCCTCTCAGTGAGCTGAGCTGAGCTGAACTAAAGAGGGGATGGAGACAAAACGCATCTGGTTTGGCTTTCTCCTCAACCCGGCCAATCAGAAGAGTCATCTCACCCCCTTATCTCTGCCTGGAGTTTATCGGCTAAGTGGATGTGTAGCTACAAGTGTGAATAGCTTGTTTTGTCGGTTCACTGATGAGGGTTTTCATCCTCTGTGAGTATTCTGCATTCACCAGCCTTGTTGGACGACTATAATCTTTCATTCTGTAAGGACAGATGCTGTTCCATTCTGTGGTTAGGAAGTACCACCATAGGGATGAGCTTTTCCTCCCACTTCCAAAAGCTTCTGTAATCTTGCTCCGTCACATAAGGCAACATTTAAATTATGATCATGCTTTTAAGGCAGATGACAAGACAAGATTAGTGAGTCTGAAAGCACTTCAAAGATACAAGGAAGCATGCAGGCCGAACAAGGTGTGAGAGTGGGTGTCAAAGGGCAAAACGAGCAGATCTCAAGCTGTAGAAGTGAAACAAAATGTGTCTGACAGTGAGTTGGTTGTGGGGGGACGACATAATGTACAGCCGCTTTGTGTTTGCTCCCATTGAGAGGCAACCACCCTGAATCCTGCACGCCTGTAAAAAAGCAGGTGCGAGGAGGCAGTATGCTTTGTGTGTGTGTGTGTATGTGTTCATACAGACAGGGTCATATCACAACAATCACAATCTCAATCATGAGGAAACCAGATGAGATACTGAAACAGCTTTTCCCAGCTGCCCTGTGTGTTGAGGTTGTTATTTCATGACTGAGGGCAAGAGGAAGCAGTGTGAGCCAAATACTACTACCAATAGCCTCACATGTTGACAGTGCAATTTCCTTTCAGTGGAGCTCTTTCAGGTGCATAGTGATGCCACAACAGTGTTTTCAAACTGTTATGCTCATGAGAAAAAATAAATAAATAAATAAAAATATTATATATATATATATATATTGACAGTCTATCAAATCTTGCTTAATTTAATCTTTTCATAGGATGCATTGATTGTAACAACTGCAACAAATTACAATCTAAAACAGTGCATGCTGCCCAATCCATATAAAACATCACTTCTTTTACCACAGATTGTTTTAAATCATGTTATGAAGAAAGAAAGAATATAGCTGAAAGGTTTTCGGGTGATGTCATTGTAATTTTTCACAGATTTTTCTCATTACTTTGGTAAAACATACTGTTGTGATTAGTTTTCTCAGTTTTATGTTTGTCCAATAGCAATATAAGGATTTTTTGTGTCTTGAAAAAGTAATAAAATGTGGTACTTTTTTAATTTTCAGAGAAAACAACTTGGATTTTCTGTTTATCAATAAGTTCAGCAAGTCTGTAGAAATTTAAAGAGGCTGCATAGTGGATTGCATTTACCTTGTTAGCAAAAGTGAATAATCCATAACTAGAGGGTAGGAAGGATCAGTTTCCACTGGGATCCAAACAAGCAGGCAGAATTAATACCAACAGTGTGCCTGTTTGAAAGCAAACAAGCCGTGCATGCAGTAAGTACCTTGTTAGCAAAGTGAATAATCCATAGCTAGAGGGTAGGAAGGATCAGTTTCCACTGGGATCCAAACAAGCAGGCAGAATTAATACCAACAGTGTGCCTGTTTGAAAGCAAACAAGCCGTGCATGCAGTAAGTTTGAAGAGGAGACACTTCTAGGACAGGCCAAATTATCATTCTTTATGTCCTGCAGGCATCTCGAAAAACCTATTCCAAGTTTAAATTTTTTTGGCAGCAAGTGGAAAATCTGTGGAGATGAGCCATGAGTATTTTGGGAGATACTAATTGGAGTTTTGCCAAAAAAAAAAAAAAGTCACTCTTTACCAACTAGATGGCATTGTACACAAGTGACTAAGTGTTAAAATAAGAAACAAAATCTCTGATTGTTCCTTGAAATCAGAAGGTGCAAAATAATTAGAAAGGAATATGACCCTGCAAGGGGGGAAAAAAATCAATCAAATTAATACCCACACATTATTTACATCATTACTATTTTCTGAAATAATTAAATCAAGAGATTAATTGTGATTATTTTTTTTTCTGTTAACAACTCAAATTATATATTGAATATATACAAATATTGAAATATTTTCTGTGTATGCGTTGGAACAATACTTATTATGAAAAAACTGTACAAATATACTTGCATTTTATTTTACATTACGTGCACTTGCAATGTACTTTCACAAGAAGATGCCGAGTAATACAATGTAAGTACATGGACCTAATATGGGTTAAGGATTGGTTTATGGTGCTATAAATACAAAGCAAATATTTTTCTGGTCATACTTTAATAATTAAAATACAAATATTTGCAAACAACATGTTTTTGTACTTTCTCTTTTTACCACTGAATAAATGGAGTGCAAAGGGTTCATCATATTTGGGGGTCCTTGGCATTAAGAAGTTTTAGACCATTTTCATAAAAACAAAGCTTGAAAAATTATAGGCTATTAAATCAGTCAAAAAAAACAAACAAACTTTAAAGTCATTTGCTTTTGTAAGTTGTTATGCCCTCTCATCAAAATGCTTATTTTGTCTTGAAGTCTCCTAGCATCAGACCAAATAAACACTCTGTTGAAGTTGCTCAGAGAATGATCAGCTATGCCTTGCCAGCAGTTGTCTGTGCTTGAACAGCCCAAAGCATTTTGGTAGGAGGGTTGGGATTTATTGTTGAATAATACATGAGGAGGAGCCACACCAATGTCTCACCCAGGCTTAATGAAAGAGAACATGTCTGCACACAAATCAGTCATGAATAAACATCAGACAGTAATTAAACTTGGTGGAAGCAACTTTATTCATTAGTAAAAAAGCAAGAGCACAGCTTCCTGTGCATGGTGAGGATTGGGAATGAAATGGTGATTGGAGGCCTTGTCTGATATTGCTTGGCATCATTGGGAAAGAGCAGGCCTGGTCAGAGAAAAAGCTCAGAAGCTGACCTCATTATCAGAAGTTAATTCCCTGACACTTAAGACATAGCTGTCAAACTGAGGCCTGTATCTCTACTGCATAATGATTAGAAAACTTCTCCTTATTCTTGATTTAGACTGTCTAATGACTTTCACAAGATAAGATATACTTTAATAATGTTCAAAATACACTACCATTCAAAAGTTTGGGTCAGTATTTTTTTTTTATTATTTTGAAAGAAATTAATACTTTTATTCAGCAAGGATGCATTAAATTAATCAAAAGTGACAAAATGTACTATTTCAAATCACTATTTGTTCCTTTGAACTTTTTATTTATTTTCTATTCAAATTTTAAAATTAGCTCACAATATGACTGTTTTACTGTATTTTTGCACAAATAAATGCAGCCTTGATGAGTATAAGACTTTAAAAAGCATTGCAAAAAGTGTACACACTTTGAAATGCATTGTTGTACTATTGAAATATTATATTGTATTGTTTTGCCCTTTCATACTGATGATGGTTTAAACACCATATATATTTTTTAAATCATGTAGCATTACGCCTGTGTTGCTTACAGTTCTTAAATTTGCGCTCAAACGAAATGGAAAAAAAAAATGTGACTCGTTGGATATTCTGATTTAATTGTACTTAGCTTGAAATGTTGGAGAACCTCTGTGACAGAGGATATGCTATTTAAACGAATCCATCTTCTTTGTTTCCTTTTCCGCAGCATGCAACTGTAACCTCCATGCGAGGCGCTGTCGTTTCAACATGGAGCTTTACAAACTCTCCGGGAGGAAAAGCGGAGGAGTCTGCCTGAACTGCCGCCACAATACGGCGGGTCGCCACTGCCACTACTGCAAGGAGGGCTACTACAGAGACATGTCTAAGCCCATCTCTCACAGAAAGGCCTGCAAAGGTATGAAGGGTACTGAATCTAAACACCATGGGCGAAAAGAGCGACTGGGTTTGGTCTTAAGGGCCCAAAGTCTCCAACTTATCTCGACACTTCCCTAGGAAAGCAGAAAACGCCACGGCTAAGTGATTAGCTGGCTGTTTTCTACACAGAAATTCACAGTACCACAAAGGAACCAATTAGATGAACCGGCGACTATTCAAAATGCGTTACCCCTCAAATGAAGGAGTCAGCAGGTCCAAAGGAAGAATTCTCACATTCCTGTGCACCTCAACCCCCATGAGTCTCTGTCAGCATGCAGCCCAAGGACAGGGATGTGGGTGGGGGAGGGGCGGAGGAGGAAGTTTACATCTTTCTGACATAGAGTTATTGGGATTCATTTGGGGGATGGTTTGACAGGACAAGCCAAACAAACAGAGCAGAGGTGTGAACTGATCCTTGTTACAGGTCAGATGAGTGAGAGGAATTGAGGTTAGGGGGAGGACGGACAGGAAGGGAAGATACGCAGGAGGGAATAAGCCAGCAGCTTTCCACAGGTGTGCAACTGGCTGGCGACAGCACACTTACCTGGGAGCTGTCCAGAAGAAAGAAGAGGAAAAAAAGGCCAGGCTATTCTCGCCTAACTTTGCCGTGGGGCAAGATGCTTTGTGCAAACAAGCCCCCCGTCACACCTTAGCATCTCCTCATAACAAGGTCCATTCTGCTGCTGTCCGTGACGGCTTAGGATCATTTACTTCCAGCTTTAGCTCTGGGTAAAATATTAGGTCTGTGCTGAAAGTTAAAGGCTCTGTTTTCCCAAACAGATAAATAGGTAAATAAATAAAAGCATCCATCAATCTGACAATGAAGACGGTGGGGAATGTTTTTGCATCATGTGAGAAGGTTATACTCGAAGGCTGAACAGAAGGTGTTTTTGTTTTCCCGCAATACCATCCGCATGCACGAGTCCTCATTTACAACATCCACAAAACAAAGCAATTAACCCTGCTGTTATATAGAGGCAGCTTAGGTTGTAAAGAAGTTTGATTTATATTTAGCTTTAAACTGAGGTAGAAAAACAACAACATATTTGAACGTGAATTTTGTAAGTTGAATTTTAGAAATTACATGGAACAAAATACATTTTTATGGTATATTTAATTTTGGATTTACATTTTTAAAATTAAATTGTAGACATTTGGCATTTGGCATGGCATTTCATTTTTATTTTAATTTTTTTAAACGTGATATTTATCAGTTTATATGGCATAATTTTAGTTTTAAAGTTTGTAAATGTAACCAATTAAATTGTTTTTGTGGTGTATTTTATATGAGTACAGACTGTAGTATAAACAGCAGATTAAAAAAAAAAAAAAAAAACACCTTAAAATTTTCAGATGAAGACTGATTGATTTAGGCATACTGTTTTCAACTGATTTAGGCATATCGTTTTCATGCAAATTCAAACATATTTAATTAATGTAAAAGTGAATGTGTGTTGTTTTTTCAGTTCTCAGACTACAGATCACATTCCACCTGATGAATAAGAAAAAAGATGAATGAGCATATAATAATATTCTCTGCATGGAAAGGCATTACACAAATGCATAACCTAACCAACATATCCATTCTGCCATACTCCAGACTGACATTTACCCCTCTCTGGGCTCTCGTTTTATTCTCCTGTCAACGTGGAATGCAAACAGACATTCATCATCCGACTGTGTGTTCCGCTAACCCCCATGCTATGTGTCTTATTGAGGGAAGAGAACTTCTTTTTGTTTTCACTTCCTTTCTCCTGTGGACAAGACTTGATTCTTTCAGCATCCCGTTACTCTCATTGGTGAGGTTTGCTCTGTTGGGATATGTTGGCTGGTCAAATGATGCATTTAATTGCAGAATTTTGTGCACACTTCTGTATTACAGTGTGCAAAAGGAAAAGTCATCTGTGAGCTTGAATATGTTGTTTTAAAGTGAAATGTTTTGTGACAGAAACTCTATCACAGATTCACAGGATGTGATTCAGTCAAGCTGGCATTAGATCACTCTTCAGTTTCATTTTTTTTTTCCTGCTTTTGCAAGGCTTCCGTAATTAAAATCAAGGGTGAATAATCCTGCAGGTCTCTGATGACCCTGGGCCTTTTCTCTAAAGTTTTATTAAAATGATCTGCTTTGCTTGGAAAGTTAATGAACTCTTCTGTTTCTCTGAGATTTGAGACAGAGGCCATGGAGGATTTCCCAGGCATTGGAATTAGGGTCAACAAACCAAATGGAATTCACTAATGGTTCAAGGAAAACTTTAAAAAAGAATAACAGACTAAAAATAGCCATAATACCCTTTAGATTGTTACAGAATTAGTAATAAACCTTTCAAAATATTCATGTACTACTATGATGGAGGAAATGTAGGGGGAAAATCAATTCTGGATTAAAAATGCATCGTGATCCACAGCCATTGAGAACTTTTTCTAATGTATATATAGATCGTTGTAAAGAAGATTTGCTGCAACTGTACCAAGCTTTTTGATTTCATTGAAAATTCCCAGTGCTGAATGTTTGCTGTTGCTGTCATCTGCTTGCATGTTTTTGTCTGTCTCTATACATTTCTCATTGCTTTCGTTCTTTCGCAACAATCATCCACATTTGTTCTGTTTTTGGTCAAGGCATTTATCTTCAGGTTCAACTGCCTCATTAGACTTTTGTTATTTTATGCTTGGAACATTTATCAGCACTGCTAGCAAGCTCAATAACTTTTTCAGTATTTTACTATTTTACTTGCTTGGATACTTACGTCGGTTCGCTCCGGTTCTCCTACATTACACACTCTTGAGGTTTAAACACAGAAAAACACTGGCACTTTTCAAATGAGAGGGAGATCTCCAGTTAATCTCAGCTGACTACCTCAAATCGAATGTTGCTTCATTTTAAATAGTTCTGAAAACACATTTCATCATGATTTACAAAATCTGTAACTTAAACAAGACATTTTTGTTCGATTTAATCCTGAAATTTGCCAGAGTAAGAGCCCCTAATGTAATTACAATCAAACACTGTCCAAGTTACACAGCTGTATTAGGTTACATCAAAACAGATGTACAAAAAAGGATGTGTGGTAATTATAGAAAGGTGACAAATGATATGAAGCATGGTATTTAATTCCTGCCAAAGAAAACATTTTCACAATCTAAATATGCCATATATTGCAAGTTAATGAAAATAGGTGCAAGTATGTTGTAATATATAAAGCACCTAACTCCCCTCATGCTCATTCATTTAATGTGTTCACCACATACTTTGTCTTTCTTTTGACAAGTCCTCACACTCTTAATCAGAGCAATGAAATAGTGGCAACTATATACTATAAAAATGTACTCTAGGAAAAACAATTAAAGTGTTTTCTGTTCTCGAACAGAGCTTCAAATCTAAGGGTCCCTGCTTCTTGTGTAATATATGTGTATCTTGTTGAAGGGAAAGTTCACCCAAAAATGTTCTTGTTTACTCACCCTCGTGCCATTCTAAACCTAAATGACTTTATTTCTTATGTGGAACCGAAAAGAAGATATTTTTAAGAATGTTGGTAACCAAACTGTAGATATTTCTTCTTAATCGTCCTCAAAATAGCTTCCCTTCAAGTGTAGCCTATTATATCATGATAAGATTGTAACAGTCACATTGTGTGTTTTATACCCACAAATGACTGGTAGAACCACCCAATAAAAATTCCAACATCAAATTCATATATCAAAAAACACTTGTTCCATTGGGCAACAGGAACCTTTAAAATTCATAAAGAATGATGCAGAGGTAGAGCTTCTAATGAAACTTCAGCCATCTGATTTGTGGCTTTACCCTTCATAAACCACACTGTAAACACACAAAGTGAAGGCAGCTTTGCTTTGCAAGGTGCATCTTGTTCCTCTCTTTGAGTTGTTTGCCCCATTAGTTTAATTTATTCTGCTTAGGAAACATTTGCTTCATCATTTCTCTTGCCCACTGGAGTGAGTGACTCCTTTGAAGATTTGATTTGTTAAATGAGCCATTTTGTTTTAATACAGTAAACCACACTCAGATCATATAAGTGTGTGGCGCTCTGCAAACTGTCAGCCACACCGGACCGTCGTCACCCCATTGGGTGGGATGTTAATAGTTCAGACAGTTTTGGTTAGCTTGGAATCTTGGTTCAATATTATATGGAATGTCTCAGTTTATATGGATTGCTAGAAACAGCAAGCTAAAGAGAATGAAATCAGCCTCTGATGGGATCCCAGGCAGCAAAACTTTAGTCAGTCAATCTAATTGTGCCTTCAATGGTTGCCATGGGTTTATACAAATAGACACAATAAAAGGCTAATTTTCTCCCCATCCTCATTAGGGTTCTGGGAAAAGCTAAGAAAGTTAGTACTGAGTATGCTAGTAGAGATGTTTGCAGTGAGAGCTGTGTAGTATTTGTGGTCACACTATTACGCCTTCCATTTGAACATGTGTCTTGCTTTGTCACAAAACAGTACTATTTTTAACCACAAATAACCTCTTCTGTTGGGGATTTGAAAATATTGTTTTACATTACCTCACTTTTCTCATTAGATTTCCAAAAAACGACTTATTTTGTGGCTGGATTCAATTAGATGAGAATGTAGCGCATAAAAATGACAACTTGGCAAAATGTTTGTTGACAAAAAGCAGTTGTGGTGCTTGGAGTGACATTCATAATTTCATTAAATGATTATGCTAATGCTCGCTATTGCAAAAAAAAAAAAAAAAAGAATATTTGTCTCAAAACACCCTAACATGAATTTAAGCAAAAACAGACACTCAGAAGATATCAGAAAAACACGCAGTGGTTCGTAGAGTGTAGTTGCTCTCATTTTCTCTTCCCTTTATTGACTTTATAGACATTTTTGTGGGCCAGCGCAGAAACTAAGCACTACAATACTGAGCCTGGGCTGAGCTGGCCATCCTCCAACAACACACAAATTACCCCACCGACTCTCAACATGATGTTTTTAATGGAGGAGAGGAGCTCA